TTGTTCTCTAATTTTGATTCAAATCCATTATTTTTTCATGGGCCGATTCTTTTGAATCCGGTCCATTGGGATGCCCTAAATTTTGGCTAAGTCAAGTTTTTTTTATTGTTACTTGACTTAGCGGGCTTTATTTTAATTTCTTTTTTTTTTGCTTTTGATTTTGATAATTTGTGACTGCCTATGTTGATATTGTAAGCTTCGTCTTTATCATTTCTTCGATCTTAAAGGATGTTCTGAGGAATAAGATGTAGTGAACTTTGTCTTTATTGATAGTGTTGCAACTGGTTTTTAAATCAAGAGTCGCCACTATTAGTTTTTATCCTAGGGAAGGGAATCTAACAGAAAACCTTAACTCACAAACAGAGATTCTTGGTTTCAGACTTTATTAGACGAAAGGAAGGTGTTAGGCACCTTTCATCTACCTTATTCACAAGGATATTAGGTTTTAGGGGGTCTCTGAGTGGATTTTACAAATTGGAGATGGGGCCATGTGTGAGCCAAATGATGGTTATGCTGATATTTGTATTTCAAATGAGTTTTTAATTTTAAAATTTTCAGATCCTATTAAGGAAATTGTAGAGGATACATATCCTGATCTAATTCATAACTATCTTGATGCCAACTATATTCAAATTCGGGAAATATTAGCTTCAACAATTGAAGTTGTAGATGATATCAACCAATATATCAAAAACCCTCTACCAGGTATTCATCGAGGATTTATTATCACTTTACTATCTAAACAACAAAAACCTTATCTTACATTTTTTACTCATTTAGTATATTTTACAATTGTTGTAGGTGAAGATAAAGAATACTTTAGTAGTGATTCCATAGATAAATCTGATGCTACTAACTTTGATGCATATGAGCATATCACACCTGAGTTTATAAATGCTATTAAAACTTCTGGATTGCCTAATCACAAAATTACCTTGAAAGTTGGTGCCACAATTATGATTATGGGTAACCTAGATCAATCTGAAGGTTTATGCTATGGTACACGGCTCACCGTCACTAGGATGGCAAATCATGTTATTGAAGCTAAGATTATTTCCGGGAAGAATATAGGTAACATCATATTTATTCCTAGAATTTCTTTGACCCCCTCACAATCACCATGGCCATTTAAATTGGTGAGACGTCAATTTCTAATAATTGTTTTCTTTGCAATGACAATTAACAAATCTCAAGGCCAATCTCTTGACTATGTTGGTTTATATTTACCGAAAGAAGTATTTAGTCATGGTGTATTATATGTGGCTATTTCTAGAGTTAAATCCAAGAAGGGTCTTAAGATTCTTATTCATGACAAAGATAAAGAAGCCATGACTACCACCACTAATGTTGTGTTCAAGAAAGTGTTCCAAAACCTTTAATATGTAACTGATTATTCATCCTAATTTATCATTCCATAAAATTATTGTGTTGCATTTTTTTGCTTGTAAACCTACCTCTCTATGTGTTTTTGTTTAGGTACAACATTTGACTACACATTGAAGATTGATGTTGTAAATCTATCCTTTTTTGTTTTCCTTTGCAAAACAACTTGTATTTTATTTCTTCTTTTGCTACTATCTAAGTGTTATTACAATAACACCATTTCATGTCTTATGAGATTACTAACTCTTATGTTGTAATTTTAATATTCTAAGATTATTATTTACTGAACCTCATTTATGTAAGATTTTTATGAGTTTAAAGTTCCTATTATAATGGAACAACTATAATACTTATAGCTTTCTAATAATTAGATCAAATTCTTGGTCAATTCTATTCGAAACCATTACACATGGAAACAATGTACATACCTTTTTTTTGGTTTAACCATGTATATCCCAATTTGATGGATAAAATTGAGATCTTTATCCTCTTCAAGTAATATTAATTAAAGATTCCATATTTATTTGATCTATTAAATGTTTATACCTTGATCCTTATAATATATTTAATGTATAATCCCCTTATTATTAAAAGGTCTAATATTTGATTCTAATTTTTTGTAGTCTATAAACTTTTAATCACATAAATTTTAACACAATCCACTTTCAATGCAATACACACATCTCCAATTTCCCAAAACAAGATTTGACAAGTCACGTAATATTTCACATATATTGTAACACATTATACTTCTACATAGTTAGTTCCACATTATACATAAACAACTTAACATATGGATAAACCATACAAGCCAAATTGATTAAAAAACTTCACTTGTTAATACAAGAATTGACCATTAGACATAACCACTTCAAAAAATTAGACATTTCAAGGATACTACAACCAAACTACAAAAAAAATGGAACACACTAGATACAACCATACACCATTCCTTCAACCAAAGTTAAACTAAAACGAAAATAAATCCCTTAACTGTATAACCTTCAATGATTCATCAAACATACATACAATGTATGCGGAACCCTCGAAATCTTAAATCCCAACCTATCTCCTCTCTTTAACCTTTTGTTCCTTGCATATTTGTTCCATCCATCCCATATATACACTTCTTCCTCCATGTTCCTCTGTACAGTGTGGAGGATTGCATCATAAACCTCTCCCATATCAACATCAAACAAGTCAAGGTGCATCCGAAAAAAACTATAAAACCTAGCTATGACCCTAGGGAAATTCTGCACAAACATGAAATTCATTAGATGATGATGCCTTTTCCATTAAAATGTAATCAGTCAATTTAATGAGAAGTATTTACTTACGAGGACATTTCGTAATGAATCAGTCAATTAAAATGTAATCAGTCAATTCAATCTCAATAGTACTCATCTTCATATGGTTCAAATGAATAATCTGAGTGTTGCTGCATAAATAGAATGAACTTCATACCATAAGAAACCATAACATTCACCGTTAATTAAAGGTTATGCAATTGAATTTGGAGGTGCACACAACATGAATCCATAGCAAACTTATATCACCAAATTTGTATATATTCATTATAATGCAAATCTATTAAAGGTATGCTAACACTAATAGTAAACTGCAAAATTATAAATAAGACCAAGACAATTTAAGGTAATGACAATAACAGGGCATCAGTTGTATGTTCATATCTCGTTTAATTCTAAAACATCATATATGAACATCCCATCTAGAAAATCAGACAAATCGTAGATCAAAATATGGACTTAGAAAAAATTATTAAAATACAGTTTTCCAAACATATGATACATAACAAAATCGGTAACATAGATTTTTTCGGTGCTTTGGAATTTTCTGATATCACAATATGTAACCACTGCAGCCGGTGAAACACACAGGCAAGGTTATATCCCTAACTTGAAATTGAATGATTGGAAATAAGTGCAATTCATCGATAATAGCTATTATTATGAATAGATTAAAAAGAACTGACCTTTCTCCAGATGAATCTTTGAAAGAAGGTTCCACAAATGCTTCGAAAGGAGGTTCCATTTTTCTGTCTTCAAATTGCTCAATGCATGTGGATGAATCCCAATCTTGAACCCTATTTATACTTGGACGCTTGTGTCTAGAATCCAACAAATATTGAGGTACTTGATTGAATCAGAGAATCAAATATTTTCATCATTCTAATACTCAAAATATTCATCCATAGGAAAAACGTTTCTTTTCTCAATGAAATTAGGAACATGGCGTTTGGTATAATACATAAGCTTGCAGAGAGACATCTGTAAGGAATAGGATTACGAGAGAGGAGTATGTGATACGCGAAATATTCACTTTAATATCATCTATGATGTTCATCTCATATATATACTAAATATTAGGGGTGTTCGCGGTTCGGTTTGGATCAGTTTTAAAGCAAAAACTCATCCGATCCAAAGATTAATTCACTTAAGGTTCGGTTCGGTTTTGGATGATATATTTAAAAAAATCCAATCTGATCCGATCCAATTTATGCGGTTTAATTTGGATCGGTTTTTGGATATCCAAATTACACATTATATTTTTATTAATATTATAAAACTACTAATAAATCATAGATTTGATATAATATATAACATATAGTATATTAAAAGTTAATATTACAAAATGAGAGTGATTGATTATGCTTGAAATAATAAAAATAAATAGATTATACCAAACTAATAAATATTATTAAAAAAATTATTATCATCTAATAATAAATTCACATAACATGTCATACTAATAAAAAGTAAATAAGTATCAAAATATATTTATGCGGTTCGGTTTGGTTTGGATCAGTTTTGAAAAATTCATCCGAAATCCAATCCGAACCGATCAGTTTTCATAAAATAACATCCAAACACAACCAATAACTTTCGGTTTTTTATGGTTTTCGGTTTTTTAGATCGGTATTCGATTTTTTATTTGGATTTGAACACCCCTATTCAATATGATGTGTTTGTATTATCAAAGATAAGATACAAGTATACTTTTTTTTGAACTTATGATGAATATTTTAAGTGAGTATTTCTACATAATCATTTTCTTATATCTTCTTTTATATTGTTGCTTCACAATTCTATTACGTTGATGGATTTCAGAGAGAGATTATGAAGTATTTAAGGATTACTGTTTTTTTAATGATTATATATATATATATATATATATATATATATATATATATATATATATATATATATATATATATATATATATATATATATATATATATATATATATATATATATATATATATATATATATATATATATATATATATATATATATATATGAAATTAAATTTTGTAATTAAAGTGGTTGGGCCACACATGTGTTCTATTTTTATTTTAACTTTTTTCTAGCGACGTGAGTCCCATGTCGCAACGTATTTCATTTTTAAAAAAGAATCTTTATATCTGAACGTTATTTTAATTTTTTTTAATATATAAATTCATAGTGACGTAATTATCACGTCGCAACAACCTTTTTTTAACCACGTGATAATCACGTCACAACTTTCATAGATATGATAATAAGGCACACAATGAGAATGATGTTATAGAAAGAAAACATAAAAAATACATAATAATTTAAGCACGTTGAAAGGAAGTGACGACCCATGCCCCCCCAAATCCCGGTTCCCATACAACAGCTTCATACTTGTGAGAAAGTAACCTATTTTTGGCGGCAAGAGTGAGTCGGAAGTTGGTCCCGTCGTTGTAAGATTGGCCTTCAACGTTGATAAGTTTCTCAAACTCCAATGTTTGTCCTGTTTTATTGTCATAGTCGTTCACTGCGAAATGGACCATTTTGAGATAGTGTGCATTAGTAATGTCCTTTACGGGGGTCCATCTTGGTAGAGCTTGATTCATGGTGGCTGAAGCCAACAAAACAACGAGGAGGAGAAGAATGGATTGAAATCTCATGATGTTTGATTGGTACCTTTTCAAGTATGAGATACTAAGATGGTGTGAGTTATAGACTTGGTGGAGTCACTAGCTATATATATATATAGTACACAAGTAAAAATTTATATATCAAGTTTGGTAATATACTTTTTTATTTATGGAAATTAATCAAAATTTTCATTTTATTTTATTTTTTTTAAATTAATAATAATTTTTATTAAATAAGTGAAATTTCTATTATTATATCCTCTCCAGTCATATTTACAAGAATATATCAAATATATTAATTATTAAATAAATCTAAAAGATAAATTATCTCTTATTTAAAATATATTATATAATATATAAGATGACAGATTTAATATTTAATAAACTAACAATTATTTTTATAGAAATTTGTGGTCATCAGTTATATTTCATTCTAGAAAAAATTTAGTCAAAAGTATAATGTTTTTTAATGTTATAATAAAAATTGTCACATTATCCTACTTCGAATTATATATCTATATTTATGTTAAATTTTTTAATAAATATTTTTTAATAGATTGTTTCATGTATTTTTTATATTTATTAATAAAAATAAATATTCATCTAATAGATAGTAATTTCTATTATATTTTTATACTACAAATATTTTTTAAACTTTTTTAAATATTAATTATGAATATTTGTTTGATTTATATTAATTTATATTAAATTATATTAAATTATGATAAAGAATTGGCACAATTTTTTTTTTATATCACACCTGCTAAGCGTATAAATGTGTATCAACTCATAGTGAGTAAGAGTTGACATGAGCTTTAGGATTGTTGTGGTATTGTGAGTTAGTTCCAGTTAGGTGAGAAGCTACTGCATGTCTGTATTTTTTAGAATGTCCTCTCTCATTTTAATTGTTTTAATTTTATTGATTTATTTTTTATTGATTCGGTGTGTTTTTTAATAAGGTCCATAATATGCGAAGCGTGTTAGGTCGTTTAGATCTTCTTAATAACCCGTTTGATAATGATCAGATAATCCATATTTTTTGATTTTATTTTATTTTTTGATTTATTATATTAAATTGTTTTAAACTTTAAAAATTTATAAAAAAAAATTATTTCAAATTCTAAAATTGTGAAAAATTATCAAAAATACTTTTGGTTTTTTCTCTTTCTGATTTTTGTTTTTCACAATTTTATATTATGATTTGGTATTTTTTATAATTTTTCACTTTATTTGATTTGTTTTAATTGTTTAAAAATATTTTTTGGTCATTTTAAATTCTGAAAAATTTATGGAAGGATCCAATGACCTATTTACAAAAAATGGTGACCTCATTTTATTTTTATTTTCGATTTTATTATTTTTCATAATTTTTTGACTTTTTTGCTTATTTATTTATATTTTAAAAAATTTTAAAATTTTTTTGTCAATACTTGTTGATTCATGTTTGATCTTTGATAATTTTTTTAGATTTTTTATTTGGTGTTTTAATACATAGTATGTATTTTACCAGTTATTTCCTCTTTATAAATCATTTAAATTTTGTTTTTATATTAAATACATTTTATTATTTTTTTATTGGTCCTAATTTGGAGACACTTGAGTGTTTTTTTAGAACAAGTTCCTCAACTTCATTGGATCTTGGGTGTTGATAGGTTGAAAAACCAAATCCACCAAAATGGATGAATGATGTTGATGATATTTGAAACCCTAATTTCATCTGATACATTGGTTACACTATCATTACCCTCCCTCTTCATCTTATCCTTTTCTTATTTTTACTTGTGCTACATATTTTTGGAGAATGATCTACATATCATTTCTCTAACATGTATCGTACATAGATTGTTATTGATCGACATCAAAACAGGTGTGGCTTTTACATAAGTCCACTTACGATTGATTAACATAGCGCTACATTTGTCCCGATTCAAAAAATGATCATTCGTGGCCCAAACATATGTTTGCAAGTCCAATTATGTTTAATTTGAAACCTTGGATCCAATAACTTTGAAGTTCATTGTTAGGAGGTGTTGCACCCCAAAATTTGCCCTCCTATTTTCTTTTATATGGCTTAGGTTTTTGCATTCATCCACATATATTTCATTAGGTCACTAACATAGCATACATTTGCATTCCAATAAAGCACAGCGGTTCAAAAGTTCAGCAGGTGCGCAATGCCATGATTTTTCATAGTACTTTGAGGGGTACATATCGAATAAGACTGATTCGCCTGTTTCTCTTAAGCGTTGAACTGAAGAATTAGGGTTTCTTTGGCTCTGAGGATCTCATCTTTAATCAAGGGTTTTCAATGTGTTTCTTCATCAATATTAGCTTAAGGAATTAGGGTTTGTAATCATGAGCATTGGGAATTTCTTCTTTTACCAAGGCAAAACCATCTTTCAAGTTACTTCCGGAAGTAATTTGATTAATGGTTTTTACATTCTTTTGAGGAGTGCATATCAAATAGATCTTGATGTTCCTGATTTTCCTCCTATTAGTAAAGGAGTGGAATTAGGATTTTTGTGGCTTTAAGGGGATTCCTCTCATTCAAAGAAAGATTAGGATTTATATCCTATCGTACTTGGGTTTATAAACATCTTCAATGGAAGTTCATGGGATGATAAGGCATGATATAAGGATGACATTGTAAATTCATTAAGATCAAGTTGGTTTGGTTCTCTTATTGTTTGTTACACAAGATTGATGGGGATCAAGGTGTTGGATCCGTTCTCTCGCGAAGGACAGAGGGTGATGTTAGGGACCATTTGGTTCATGGTCATCAATTGAAGATTCGGCTCGCTCCATGGCTTATGATATACGTCCTTTGCTTTAGGGTTCATTCAAGAAGTTTGAATTCTGATCATAGAGTTTGCTTTGGATTATTTCAAGAGAAATATCATGTGAATTCATGTTTTGTTCAAAATTGGATTAAAGTTCATTTATCAAGTATGAAAGGTTAGAGATAGATTCATGTGGATTTCTTGAGAAACAAGTTATTTGAAATTTAGAGCAAATATCAGGTTCATGCATGTACAAGGTCACTCAAGAATTATTCAAGGCTATTTCAAATTTCAAGATCATAAATCAAAAATTCATTCACCGTTCAGGTGACCATAATGCAAAATCACAAGTTTCAAATGTAAAAGTTCAAATTCCAAGTTCAACATTCACTATTCAAGTTTTACAATGTTTACCATTTACAAACCATAAATCCAATTTACAAAACCATGACCATCATGTCTAAACATCATACAAAAAATATTACACAAACTTTTATTCTAAGCCTAAAATCCTAATATCCAAACAATTTCATGCTTCCATATTCGGGCCAAGTATCCATCTTCAAATTTTCTTTCACTTAGCCCAAACTACAAACTGCTTTTCCTTGGTATTTCTTCATGCCATATTCAACCTCTCATGTCATCTTCTCAATTTTCCTTGACTCTAATTTTAAGCCTTCTTCAAATTGCAAGTTATACACTGTCAATTACCCGAAACAATTCATCCAGCCAAACATATATACTACTCATTTATCACAGACAGTAGCATTCCGTGTGTGCAGCCCTGCAAACCGGATCCTTCTATGTGCAAATGTCTAGAAACTAATTCCAAACTTGTCCACGAGATATTCTATATCAGTTCATATAGCTCTGCATATTAATAACCAAAAAGCGAGCTCTTTGTTTAGACCATGACAAAAATACTACTCAGCTGCTTGCTCAAATCGCATTGCAAGTTGCATTTGCATACACAATTACATCATCTAAAAAAAACCTAAATCAAGCATGTTTCATTACAAAAAATAAGATACCTCAGAGGAGTGCTACTTCCATATCTGTTGCTCACCCGTCAAGGTGAAAAACACAAGAAGGGGGGGTTGAATTGTAAAACTGAAATCTAATGCAATGAACAAGATATTTTTATCCTGGTTCGTTTGATCTCAAACTACTCCAGTCCACCCGTCAAGGTGATTTCGCCTCTCTCCAACGAGGTCTTAATCCACTATATTCAACTGAATATTACAGACTGCTTTAACAACTGCTAAAGCCTTCTTGATCCAAACCACAACCCGGTTTGTCAAGGTAACACTTTCTTACAAAGAGATAAAACTAAGTGTGTGGATGTTTTCTACAAAACTGTATCACAACTTTGATGTATACACAAATTGAAGCTTAGAAACTAGATTGCTAAACAATGATAGAATATCAGAGTGTGTGGTTTAGCAAAACTGAGAGAAAGAAGATTATGATTAGCTTTTGTGCGTGTAGAGATTTGGAGAGCATTAGCCATTTCAATCTTCAAAGTCTTGTTTATATAGCACTGAGATGATGAATGTTGGATGCAATATTCTTGATTCAATGCTAATAACAAACTTTCCTTATTGAGCAGATCTTGTCTGGAATGAGGCCGTTGGAATTAATTTGCTTTCAATGCATAGTACCGTTGCTTACTTAATGCAAGTTCTGGCTTGGCTCATTCTGACTCTGCTTCGCTGCTGATGAACTGTTGTGTTTCTTTATCAGAGTGTTGAGCGCAGTCTTGTTCATCAGGCTTCAGCATGTACGTGAGTTGATCATCTGATTCTGACATTCTGATATGGCAACTTCTGATGCTGGTGTCTGAAATCAAGTTCTGATGCTGAGTAGATGTGATCTTGCTTATATCAATCAGAGTATCTGTAAGTCAGAACATAATAATTTTAGGCAGTAGATAGTTCATACATGAAACTTATAAATACTATATCTTTTCACTTTGTTATCATCAAAGCTTAAATATAGGGTAGTAGATTCAAACTTTGTTCTAACAATCTCCCCCTTTTTGATGATGACAAAAACTAGATATTTTTTAAATGAAAATAACGTGAAAAGGTATCTGAGATATGTATCAGAGTAAGAAGTAAAAGGATAAGGAGTAAAGAGATATCAGAGTTGAGAGATACTCCCCTTGAGTTTATTACTTCCCTTTGATTACACGTGTTCTTCAGGATCAGATCTTTTTGCCTTTCTTTGAACATCAGAGTATCAGAGTCT